AGTATGATGGTAATCAAAGGTAGCAATTGTCTGGAGGCTTAAAAGTGCCTATTTCTATACATATATGCTGCTCCTTATCCTGCAAAATGTCCACTTATCTATAGTCTGGACTATTAAATACAATCGTCAAAAGCCCTCAATTACTGCACCTTTAAGGGTGCAAAAAAACAGAAATAAGTATAAACTCCTGCACCTACACAGGTTCTATTAGTGCCTGATACTGATATCCTATAGCACCTTCATGGATGCCCTGTATAAACGGCTGCAATGGAGTCTCCTAACTCCTAGTATACATAGGTAAACCCAGCTTAGCCCCCTGGAGCATCCTCACAATAAAAACAAAAGTGGTGATCAAGCTTAGTGCATAGTGATTAAAGTGCTAAGTAAAAAAGTAAATAAAAATAAAGTCCCAACGCGCGTTTCTGTGCTCTAATGGCACCTTCATCGGGGTGGCAGCTTTCAAACTGAAAGCATTGAGTTTTAAATGGTGAATGGCAGAATTTCTTTCAAATAAACAGGATGCCTCAAATTGGTGCCTTGATGCAGAATCAGTTTTTTTAAACTCACAAGTGACTATTAATGATGATAATTACAACCTGACTACAGGATTTGATACATTATCAAAACTATATAAACAACAAATAAGAGTCAGTTGGGAGATAGCTTCCCTTGAAAATTAATTAAAGAAAGGTTTAAAACCGAGAGGTTTGCAAATCATACCAACAGCTCATATTGAGGAAGAGGATTTTATTAAAGAATGGGAGGAAGCGGCAGGGCAATGTTCAGCACAATTTATGCATATAATCTGCAAATATGAAAGCAAAAAGTTCAAGGGAATAGACGCCAGAGTGGACAAAGAGTCAAAAAATTCCAGTGGACTTCAAATACACAGAGTCTTAAAAACTGACCCAACAAAGTGTTTCTTGGACAGGCTGAAAATTGTACTACACCACTGTGAAGGTGCTCTTGTACTTACATATATGCCTTCAGTTGAACCTTCTCCCTGCTGTTTAAATGCCTGTATCAGTTCGGTTCAGTATGTATGGAATCAATGTATTCGTTTACCGAACGGAGACCACACACCCTGGGTAGCAATCAGCATTAGAACGCAGAGAGAACCGCGACTTAATTGCTACTAGGTGGCCGCCATTCGACATACGAACACGTGGCGAGAACAAAGGATGGCGGCCATCTTAAAACTCACGAATGCGGTCAGCGGGGCTTACGCGTGAATTGCATGAAACTGTTTTCGGTACGGGAACCATGCGAACACCCGGTCCCCATGGAAGTCCTGGATGAATACGTTCCCCTCCACGAATCAAACTGGCGTTCGGTAGATAGTATCTACCGAATGAGGGAAACATTCACAGGTAACCAGCTGAACCATACGAACGGTGGTTTTCGTGTAGTTAGATGCAAACGGAGACCGGCTCTTGCTACTGATTCTATGGAACTGTAACTCGGATACCTCCACATGGCAAGCCGGTCAAACTTCTACACGATGCGACACGGAAACTACCGAACGGAAATTCGTGAGATTTGGATATGTGACTACCAGTATCCTCAGCTAACCATATATAAAAGTATATTTGTATGTCTTATAAAAAGTATGTTTCTGAAGCTTTGTGTATTGTAGAAACATAATTATCTAGCCTGGGCCAGAGGAGGAGTTTTGTGTTGCATAAATTGTGAGTTCTGTGTGCCAGTAAATCAGGAATACATTAAGCTTTGGCTCATGTGTGGATTATTCGGCGATTCCAGGGATATTTCTGCTTATGGAATATTGAGTGCTTTTCTTTTATGGGAAGAAGGGAATGCTTGACGGGGATATTTTCTACTACCGTCACAACCACGACAGACAGACAGACACACACACACACACCATAACAGACAGACACACACCACGACACAGACAGACACACACACACCATAATGTGATGGGATTCCAGCATGGTCAAAATTTAGTAGGCCAAAATCTCCACATGGCATATGCTAATTGGTATCTGATTACAAACAGTTGGATGAGTCATCAGTGTACTGAGCATGTGCAGGAACTGAAATTGCACTTATTTCCTTTGTCTTGGATGGGCCATGTGGTTTGACTAGATGTACAAGTCTATAGTCTGCTCATTGATTGGTTAAAGGTATATGTGGGTGTAGCTATTAATGGGAGGAGTTATAGTGCTATATAAGGAATGTACACCATGTGTTGGCCTCTCAGAAATTTGGAACAGGAGTTCATCCGAGACCCGATCGGTAATGTGAATAAAGGCCTCTTACTTCCTGAATACCTGTGTTCATCTCTCTGTGTTTGGCTTCTGCATGCTTACACTGTTACATCTCTGGTGCATTGGCAGCGGGAACCTCATCGCATGGAAGCTGGCGCAGAGATTTGAGACGGTAAACTTTTACCAAATCCTCTACACAGCACCCCTGGACTTCTACTGCGTGGACCTCCTTTCGTCTCGGCGCCACTGGCCTTTGTCCAGGACATCATAGGCTTCTGCGCAGTGAGTACCGGGGTGTTCTGTCGATGAATGTGAACCCAGGTCCAGGAACTAACAGGTAAGACTGATACCGTTAGAGCGGTAGACCCACAAGGGGTTTTATATTTGGAACCGGTTATTGGAATTGGCCCCTTCCCTCTGGAAGGAAGAAGCGAAGGCGTAACGCTTATCTGGACATTAGACTCTCTGTAGTCAGCCCGTCTAATATAGGTGGTATTGTCAGACTGAGTTCTGGTGTAAATAGCTCATGTCGGACACCGATGTCCTGCCTTGACTAGCATGCTAGGTGTAAATTTTGGTTGCTAGGCAAGGGGAGATTGGCGAAACTAAGCAGCCTCTGTTGTATATTATAGTTTGCTAGATTTCACCCTATCTTAACTAAGTGTGCTCTGTTGTAAATCCAGCCACTAGATTATTGATAGTGTAATAGACTAAAAGGGTATTGGTGTAAATTCTGCCCTCTAGTTCGCTGTACGTGGTGTCTGGGCAGCGAAGAACTTCAAATCGAATCTCTGGTGTACAAATAGATCGAAAGCTCTCGAGGTGCTGGCCAGTTAGAATAGTTGGGATTATTGTAAATGTTGTTAAATATATTGTAGTTGGTGAATTGGTTAACTTGTATGTCCTACTCGAAAGTTAGAGCTCTGCCGTCTAGTGGGAGTGTAAATTGTGTTTATAACTGCAAAATAGCATAACTACTGACATGTACCATAACCACTGACATTGTGTAAAAATTACTAACAAATGCTGTTTTATGTTATATGTATAAAACCATAACTGTTACTAACTGATCTGTGACTTTAAAACTGTATTATAACCACTTACTAACTGTACCATAACCACTGACTGTAAAGATGAGATTACTAGAATGTGATATAGTTGGTTAGTTAAAAGTTGATTTATAGTACGGATAATTGTAGAGACGATTTATAGTTATAGAGGTAAGTAGCTAGTGTTTGGTAGATCTTTGTGAGTGGGACGCTGTGATATCATTGTATGAACGAGAATTCTCTGCGTGTTATCGTGTGTGTATGTTTGGCTTAGCAACCGTGCCACGTTGTACTGTTGCCAGGGAAACGAGTGTGATTGTTGGAAGTGTTTGAAGTATTGTGTATCTTTTTTTTAAATAATTTTATTGGTACATAGGAAAAGCAGTCATCCCATGCAGGGGAGGCAAACGGACCATAATAAACTTTCGTCATAAGCATATGCCACAAAGTTCATTATGTATCTAATTAGAACAGTCAAAGCCTACTAAGGCAGAAAGGTTAAAGTATGTGAACACAAGTTACATAACAAAGGTTAGGCAAATGTCATATTGCACATCCGTTCCAACATTAGCAATAATAGGCCATTCTCTGTATCCTATTTTGCAGTCGGCATATGTTAGCAGTACAATATTTAGCTAAATCTGAACCTAGGTATTTGCACTGTTGTCTACGCTGAATTATAACAGGTCAAGTTAAATAACGTTTTATGCCTGTTCTCAACTTTATTTGATCAAGCAATGCGCAGCAACCCATTAGTGTCCCCATATGTTGGCAGGGAGGGAATAAACTATGGCATAACACAAGGGCACACCATTAGAATATCAGAGAGAGGGTTAATATTTCACTCTTAGATATTAAAATGACATTTAATGATTAGATGATGGGAGTTTAGGGGCTTAATTGGTTGCTGTATAGCTTCCTCTCCACACGTTTAAACAGGGTAGTATGTTGTAAGTCTTTAATTCGTGCCCTCAGGTAAGCGGTAACTGATGTCCCTAAGATAGGACCCCCAAAATCTATATGCTTGAGATTACAAACACATCTAGGCAATCAGCAAAGAACGGTTAAACTGTAAGCAGGCTGTTTCTTAACATAGGGTGATATGATGGGGGTATAAACCTCCGGCTTTAGATCTACGAAACATTACATTTATTAGAGAATAATTAAGTAAGAATTATATCAGCACAGGACTTTATATTAGTCGGACTGGGGCCGTCTATGGCACAGCAGCAATATGCCCCTCAGCCCACCGAGTCTCCATCTGTCTCCCCCAGGCAGGCCTCAGCCCGTCAGCGGGACTCTCCATGGCTCTGTGGGCACTCAGAAGCAGGAACTGTACGCATGACCCCCACACCTAGAGTCTACGAACCGTCTGCCCCCTGCACCTCCCCAGAACCTCTCAAGCCTCTGTGGAGCGTGTGCCCCCATGTCTCTCCTGGCGCCGGCCACACTCTTGGGGGTGGTGCACGCCAGTCTCGGCCACCGGTCCGCCGGGAGGCCCGCCACCACCTGGTCCACAGGGCTCACAGCATCAGGGACAAGTCTCTCCGGGGACCCGGAGGCCAGGGCACCTACTCCTCTGGTGGGCTGGTTGCCGGAGAATCCATCTGGAGGCCGGTAGCACCGAAGGCCACACGCACTGTCCAAGCTGGACCCCCATGTTAAGTGAGTATTTTTCACTGTGTCCCTTCTCAGAGCAGTCGGATGCGCAATTAAATGGATTTTAAACAGCCGATTGCAAGTATCCACCGCTGTGGCTGTACCCATATCTGTATGGTCCAGTCTTCTGACAGGCTGTTCCGCAGGCAGCCTTTGCCAGTGTAGGCGATCGGCACAACACCAGCCCGGGGACTCCCGTCGCCATGAGGGCCGCCGCCATGAGGTCAGGATTACCCCCGCCGATCATGGGGGTGGAGCGGGGCCGCACCACCGGCAGGCTCCGGCCGCGTTATGTCAGGGCTCTCTCGCACTGCCCGCCCTGCTCAATTGCCTCTTGAGGCTCCAGATCGTGAGTAGGCCGGGGATATCAGCACCCACCTTCCAGTTTGCTATTGGTGGTTATTGGGTGTCTTTCTGATGCTGGGGTTATGCTCTTCTCCGGTACTGCGGAGATGTCAACTTTGGGGTGTTCAGCACACACTTTTAGTGTCTTTTTCAAGTGCTCGGGTCTGGAGCTAAAGTTCATGGCTGCCAGTCGGCCCGGCGGCCCGGCCCCGCCCCCTATTGTGTATCTTTGTAATAGACGTTCCATTGCCAAAGATTGTTGATCCCTTGGCGTGCATGTTGAAAAACTTTACAAAGGGATATAAAGCCTGTGATTTTGGGGTAAAATTGTCCCCAAAACGTTTGACTACCTTATGTAGTAGAGAGTGGCCTATCCTGGTGACCGCATGGCCACCATGTGGTAGCCTTGATCTCATTTTGGTACAACGTGTGCACGCGGCTGTTTCTAGTAGGCCTGAATTTTATGATCAGTTTCCGTATAATGATTGTTGGAAACAGATTGTAGAAGAATTGCCTAAATGGGTTAAGGTATGCCACGAGGAGCAATGTTGCCTCATGGTGGCCAGGACTCGCCTCTCCATCAGGGCCGCAACTCCGCCATTTTTAGATTCCCCCTCTCAAACTGACCTTCCCTCCCCACCCCCTTACACTTCCTCTAAGGTTAGAGGTGGTGCTACTGGTGTTCTCCCCCTTTCCCATTGTTCCTGCCCACTCATGCATCTAGTTCAGAGCCCAGCCCACTAGCTCTGAAACCTCCCCTTCCAGTACAGGCCTCCACTAGTTCCATATATCCAGAACTGTCGTCACTTCTGGTTCCTGGTCAGGCTTCTCCCAGCCCGGCCCGTAATATCTTGTTGACCGAACTTCAGCCCAGTAAAATTAATCCACCTCACTCCCCTTGTCTTACTACTCCCAGACCGGAACCTATTATTGAGCAGCCTTGCCGAAGTCCCACATTAACCCGACAGATGACTGGTGCCCTCCAACCCCGACATTACCAAATGCCCCTCCGACTTACACCAGGCCCAACACACGTGGATGAGAATGGCCAAATACAAGGGCAGATCCAGTGTTTGTATATGTCCCCTTCACTACGACTGATTTATTTAACTGGAAGACTCATAACTCTTCATATACTGACAAACCTCAAGTTATGACAGATTTGGTTACTTCTATTATCCAAACACATAATCCCACCTGGGCCGATTGCCAGCAATTATTATTAACTTTATTTAATTGTGAGGAAAGGACCCGGATTAATCAAGCGGCTATTAAAGTGCTTGAGGAAACGGCCCGTACTCCAAATCAGGCCAATCCAGTTGCGTGGGCTGCAGCCCATTATCCAAATGTCGATCCAAATTGGAACGTGAATGGTGCTGACATGCCCCAACTAAGGGCTTATCGGGAAGCCATAATTGCTGGCATGAAGGCAGGAGGGAAGAAGGCAATTAATATGTCAAAGACGGCTGAGGTGTTGCAAAAGGTTGATGAGTCACATAGTACCTTTTATGAGAGATTATTGTAGTCATTTAGGTTGTATACTCCTTTTAATCCAGAGGCTCCTGAGAATTCTAGGATGATTAATTCAGCAGTTGTCAGCCAGGCCCGAGGTGATATTGAAAGGAAATTACAGAAATTAGAGGGATGTGTAGGGATGTCCATATTACAGCTAATGGAGATTGCAAATAAAGTATATATGAATAGGGAGACGGAGGTAAAGTAGGAGGAAGAATGTAAGATGAGAAAAAGGCAGATATGCTAGCGGTAGCTATCTCAAGTGTAGAAAGACAGGGAAGGGAAGTGAATAGAGGAGACGAGAATAGGCTGAGCAAGGGACCTTTAAGTAGGAATCAATGTGCGTATTGTAGAAAGGAGGGTCGTTGGAAGAGTGAGTGTCCACAGAGAGAGCAGTATGAAGGTGATAGACAAGGAGAGAGAAGGGTACGAGGAGGTTATAGTGGTAGTTATAGAGGAAGAGGAAGTTTTAGAGGGAATGGTTGGAATAGTAGAGGAAGTGTTCAAGGAGACAGATACTATCCACCCACGCAGAGACCTAGAAAAAGAGAGGATAGAGATTTTGTGGGTCTGGCTGACACTATCATGGAAGACTATTGATACCGACCGGGCTCCATCCCCCTTGGTCAAGCGGAGCCTAGCAATAGGGGGAAAGAGAAGTTCTTTCATGATCGACACAGGTGCTGAACATTCTGTGGTGACTAAGATGGTGGCTCCGCCTTTGGGGAAGACTACAACTGTGATAAGAGCTACTGGGAGCACTGCTAGACCGATTCTCAGGAGTTGTACTTGCATTCCAGGAGGCCATTTTGTGAAGCACCAGTTCCTATATATGCCTGAGTGTCCAATCCAACTTCTAGGACGAGATCTATTATCGAAGCTTCAAGCCCAGATAACCTTTTTACCTAATGGATCACCTAAGGGATTACCAGGCATAATAGCGGTATTGGTGCCAAGAGAAGAATGGCGCTTCTGTTCTGTAATAACAAATGCAAACCCTAAGGATGAATCCTTATTTGACATTCCAGGAGTATTGGCAGAAAATAATCCTCCAGGACTTGCTCGTAACATCCCACCGATACATATTGAGTTAAAGCTCGGGGTGTATCCTGTTAGCCTTTGTATGTTGTTTTTTTATCTACCCCAACAGCTGTAAAGGTGGCGGAAGTGACTCCTTGGATTCATCACTCTAAGGTTAAACCAGCGGCAGACTCTCAGCAAGCTACTCCAGATCCTGAAAATCCTTGCAAGATCCGGTTGAAGCGCATAACCCAGTTGGATTGAACGTGTCGTGAGAAAAAGTACGAGGGGATATCGAAACATTCTAGTTAAAAGTCTACAGGATCATCAAGTAGGTGTTTTGATGGCCATAATAAAGCCTGACCACCTGCCTACGTGTCATAGCCAGAGTGTCTCGAAGGGATCTCTGTGAAGGAAAGTGAGGATCAGAAGAACAACATCCTTGCAGCCCTCACAATCGGGAAGCTGAGGGGCCATCGCATGGTCGAAGAAAAATTAGGATTTCAGGAATAATGTGTTTTATTATGTGTCTTAGTATTTTTATGATTTTTCAGAAAGGTAGGAGTACAGACATACCAAATTGCGATAGTTGCATTAAGACTACTAAAACAGGTAACCAAATATCCCAAACTCTCATCTGGCACTCACAGTATGAATGTAAGGGATTTGTATCTAAATGTAGATATTTGGATATTGATTATAGTGTGTGCAAGCCAATATCAGGAGAGTCTGAATGTTTCGATCCCCAATTCCAACCCTGTACAATTTGGTTGGTAATCAGGAATAGTAATTCCCAGGGAACTTTGATAAACAGGACTGTGATAAATACCATACATTCTACGTGTGTTCTGCTATTTGATGCATGTAAGGTGATTTCTGGTAATAGAAAACCTTGGAATGTATGTGGTAATCTTAAATGGGAACGAACTTATGGGTTTAATGATAAATACTTATGTCCCAGTAAAAGATCTACTGATCCTGATTGCCCAAATAGAGATTATAATTTTTGTCCCTATTGGTCTTGTGTAGGGTGGATCAAGATATGATTATCCAAAGGTTGCCTACCACACCATACTGTAAATCTATGGAATGTAATCCGGTCCATATGACCATCTCCAATCTCCAGCATTTTATTGACAAATTTGGAAATATTTTTGGGTTCCAAATACATGGCACAGGCGTAGATCCAGGAACAATAATATATGAAGGTCTTGAAACTGAGACAGTGGCAACTCAAATTCATCAGGTTTTCCATTCCTTTTATGAGGAGATGAGTGTTGAGGATAAAATTCCCCATAATGTTAAGAACCTATTTATTGATTTGGCTGAGAGTATTGTGGGTAGTCTTAATGTAACTAATTGCCATGTGTGTGGAGGTACTAATATGGGAGACCAGTGGCCATGGGAGGCAAAGGAAATATGGTACCCTGGCTCTGAGACATATGAACAACAGATACCTTTTCAGTCTGATCATCAAGTAAGTACTAGAAGTAAATCGGAATGGCGGTTAAAACCTCCATTATAGGTCATGTTTGTATAGCCAGGAAAGGGACAATGTATAACACGTCTGTAGGTGAGCTAACTTGCTTGGGACAAAAAGCCTATAATGTTAATACTAAAAATACTACTTGGTGGTCAGCTTCAAATGTCTCGGACCCTACTAATCCGTTTACCAATTACACTCATTTAAAGGAGGTATGGTTTGACTTATCTGCTACATCTAGTTGGAAAGCCCCAGCAAATTTATACTGGATCTGTGGTAGGAAAGCTTATTCGGAGTTACCACAAGATTGGGAAGGGGCATGTGTATTAGGTATGCTCAAGCCATCCTTCTTCTTGTTGCCAATTGAGACAGGAGAGACCTTGGGAGTTAAGGTTTACGATGTAAATCATAAAAGGAAGAGAGCATCCTTGAATATAGGTAGTTGGGAAGATGATGAGTGGCCCCCTCAACGTATTATTAATTATTATGGACCTGCTACTTGGGCAGAAGATGGCACTTATGGATATAGAACTCCGATATATATGCTCAACTGCATTATTAGACTACAGGCAGTGGTTGAGATTATTACTAATGAGACAGCTCAAGTGCTTAATCTTCTAGCTAAGCAAAATACCAGGATGAGATCAGCCATCTGTCAAAATAGATAAGCTTTAGATTATCTATTAGCAGTGGAAGGAGGTGTATGCGGAAAGTTTATCCTTAGCAACTGTTGTTTGCATATAGATGATGAAGGTCAGGCAGTGGCTGAACTTACTATTCACATGGTTAAACTTGCGCATGTACCAACTCAGGTCTGGAATGGGTATAACCCAAGTAGTTGGTTTGGAAGTTGGTATGAGCAGCTTGGAGGGATTAAGGCACTAGTAGAAGGAGTAGAATTTATTATATTTCTTGTGCCTCCTCCTGCCCTGTCTACTCCCACTAGTGGTCAGGTCTATACGTAGTGTTATAGAGAGCACTATAGAAAGAGAGACAGCTGCCCATGTAATGGCTGTCTATAGATATGATTCCCTAGCCCACAGAGAGAATAATGGGGATGAGGAATGTTGAGAGAGCACGAAGTTAAGTTAGAATGATTACAATGTCTGTACTGGTTTATGGTTACTTGAGAGATGTAGGTAAAACTGTGATTGGTGATGCATCTGGAATAATGTTATATCAGAAGCATCAAAGGGGGGAATGTGATGGGATTCCAGCATGGTCAAAATTTAGTAGGCCAAAATCTCCACATGGCATATGCTAATTAGTATCTGAATACCTGTGTCCATCTCTCTGTGTTTGGCTTCTGCATGCTTACACTGTTACAATAACAGACAGACACACACCATGACACAGACAGACACACACCATAACAGACAGACAGATACGCACACACCCCATAACAGACAGACAGATACACACACACACCATACCAGACAGACAAACTCACACTGACACACATTACTACTACCTGCCAGGGGGTCGTGCAGTGCAAACGGCTGTCTGTGCCACTGGGGGAGCTGCACTGGCTCTGCTCTCTTGCCCTCGCGCGCTGCTGAATGAGACCGTGGCCAGAATATGACATATTCCGGCCCCGGTCTCATTAAGCTGCGCGCTGGGGAGCAGAGCCAGTGCAGCTCCCTCAGCAGCCGCCAGCACAAGTTCCCCAGCACACCCAGCTGTTTGCCTGGCCCCGGGTGCCGACGGCTGACCCGGTGGGCCAGTCCGGCCTTGATGTATGGTCATCAAGTTTTCCTTTGGGCTCAAGCCTCACAGGTTTCTGGAACCTAGCAGTGTTCCTGCTTGCTAGCTTTTAATTTAGCACGAGGATGAGGTGATAAGGCAAGGAGGTTCTTTGAGAGAGGAAGTCAGATTGAGAGAACCAATATCTGGAGATTTTAGGATATTCCTTTCTGGATTAGAACAGGGACAGACTCCTCTGAATGAGTGCACAAAATTGAGCCTCATGCTCAAACTACTGCTATTAGTCTTGGCAGTGATCAGCCCAAATACACAGTACAAAAAAAAAAAGCCATCAAGCCAAAAAAGCCATTAAAGCTCACCTTCTAGGTGAGTCCTACACTAATAATTCACCTTGCTGCTTTCAGCTTAAAGGCAAACTCTCTAATGAGACAGGAAGGGTTATTCATATAAACATCTACACACTTATGAACCCGTAATAGGGTAAACATGGGGTGGGTGGCAACACTGTAACACGGTTGTGTAATACAGAAGCAAATGCAAAAATAATGTCTGCATTCAAACTCCCACTACTCTTAAACTTCAGCTATTTCTTTTTTTTTTTTTATAATTCTTTATTTTTACTCGACAGACAGAGCAAGTGAACATTAACTTTTGGGCTTACGCAGAAGCCAACTGAGATACAGTTCGTGAAAACAAAATGCAATTCAAACAATACAATCCGAACAGTACAACGCATGCCCAATCTGAAACCCATGGAAGGGTATTTTTTATTTTTTAACCAGACATGTCAGTGACCTTTGGAGCCCTTTTATTATTAAAGCCTCATCCAGCCCATGGGCTTATCTGTTTCTTTGAACCTTTTAGTCATGCCTGGTAAAAATAAAAAATAGAAAGAAACTGCCTCCCCCTGAAATCAGGGGAATGGCCGTAATAAAGAGAAGAAAGAAAACAGGATACGAAGGACAGAGTAAAAGAAGAGAGAAGGATCTAGTGACAGAGAGGGAAGAGAGGGAAGAAGAAGAGAAAACAGAGGGGGGGGAGGGCAGGGGGCCCCTACAAGAGGGGGCTTCTGTTGTCGCTATTGCCAGTATGGATCAGTCCTTTTAACCAGTCCTCGTCAGTCGCTGCTCGAGCCTAATGCGCTAATGTCCCACAGTTCCCACAGTCTCTGGAAAGTCTCCGTCGTCCCTTTTACCCTTGCTGTCAGGTCGTCCATTATTCTACATTCTCTTATACTGGAAATTATCCCTGGGAATTCTGGGCCCTCTGGCCAGAGCCATGTGGTTGCTATTGCTCGGCGTGCACTCAAAGTTATCTTATGTATTAACTTCTGCTCCTTCTTAGTCCACCCTTCCAATGATCTATTTAACAGATAGACCCACGGGTCCATAGCCAGGGGCCTATCGAAAGTCTGTTTCAGCAGATCCTCCACTGACCTTTTGATAAAGTTGTACGGGTGTGGTGTACCATCGTAACATGGTTTTCTACGATAGTTCCTGAAGTGTGACACATATAGAAGCGTTGGTGTTTGCTTCCCATATCTCTTGCCACTCAATTCCTTCCAATTCCTCCCCTAAGTCCGATTCCCATTTGTCAGTGTATGTCAATCTTCCACAGACTTTATTCTCTGTACTGTGGTGGGCATATAAGAGCGTGATCATTCCCTTGGGGGTCACCCCATTTAAACACATTTTCTCATAAAATGTCAGCTTTCTCTGGGCTGCTGCTCGTATGTGTGGTTTTCTGGCAAAGTCCCGAATCTGAATATATCGAAAGAAATCCCCTGGGATCAAGTGATTGCCTTGTTGAAGTTCAGCAAATTGGACTATCTGTCACATCATGCCTTGTTCTGCGGATCAGTCTGGTGAAGGCTTCTGGTACTCTTTTTACAATT